CCTTTAATTCCTGGTGCCTACTGCATGAGTTAGTCCATTTAAGTGAGAAAACATGTTTTGTCAGATTGTGTGAGTCTGACAATTTTTTGAACCAAACTAAAGCCTTTTGAGAATTGAATTCCATTTGCTTCAGGGGGGAAAAGAAGTGACTTTCTGGTTCAAAGGAAAAATGCTTAGAAGCCATATTTGAAAGGTTCATAAGGGGTCTTACACATCAAATAGCTCTTAGAAAACAACATTCTGATGAGTTAAGTGTAAATTAATTAGAAACATACAGATTGCTTTTCCCTGGCTATACACATGGGTTTCAAGGTTTAAGAAAGAGTGTTTGACGAGGTATGTTTGGAGCTTTCATGACCCAAAAAGCATAGTAAAGTAGTTCAAGATGTTTCCGTGAAACAGAGATACCTGTTTCCTCGCAGGGATCTTTCCAAACAAATACCTAATGAGCTCTTACTTAAAAACATGCAGAGGCAGGCAGGTACTCCATTTTGTATTCATCAAGTCTATCTAAAAGAGGATTTTTCCCTGCTAAGAAGCTGATTAAATCATTATAAATGAATTCCAGCCTTGCAGTGCTTCTGAAAGGGGAAACATAAGTGAAATATCATGAAGACATGCTCACTGCAAATCTGTCCTGTACTAGGAGTAGGAGACCATTTGTGGGTGGAATCCCTGAGATACTAAGACTGCAGACCCAGGAGTAGTATTTCCAAAAAGTTTCCTGGATAATATCAGATTATGAGAATTTGGTCCAGGTAGTCTGGCTATATGTCCATCAAGTGTTTATATCCAATTAACAAGGAAATACAACTTGTCAAAGATATAAAAGCAAACGAACAATCATGGAAATGTTTGCAGACCCTCGTTCCCTAGTACCACCGCTACAGAAAGTACTTTAAAATGTTATCATTAGCAAATAGTTATTGCACATCACTTATGGTGCTGAAACTTAATGCCATTAGAATGCCCAGAATGCATATCTTCAAACCCACCACTAAGGGGGAAAAAAAAAAAAGAATGGAAAAAGAAAGAGGGAGAAAAAAGAGACTTAAAGTGTATAAAACATTACCCTTATATGTTTTGCTAAGTGATTTATTTTCTCTTAATTCTGTTTCCAATTAGCTAAAATAAAATTAGGACACCCCTCTTAAAGTTCAACACACATGAAGCACCAAGGCCATCCAAGAAGAAGTAACCAAGCTCAACTTCTCCAAACCCCTTAATTCTCATCTTAATATAAGGATTACTCGGTTCATAGTTTTAATTTACTATAATAAGCGGTTCTTACATTTCTGCCTCCCCCCCAGGGTCCTTAAAAACTTAGAAATATCCCCCAATGATAAATTTTTGAAGAATTCTGAAGTTAAGTTTTATATAAAAATTATACTATTACAGGGCGCCCGGGTAGCTCAGTCAGTTAAGCATCCAACTCCCAATTTTTGGCTCCGGTCATGATCTCAGGGTCATGAAATCGAGCCCGGCCATCAAACTCCTCACTCAGTGGGGAGTCTGCTTGAGATTCTCTCTCTCTCCTTGTCCCTCTGCTCATCCCCCTCCTCTCTAAATAAATAAATAAATAAATTAATTAATTAATTAATTAAAATCTTTTAAAAAATGATGCTATCAAAATTTCAAATAACTGATAGGGCTGCTCAAAAAAAGTCCCCACTAAGATAGCTGTACTATTTGGTTTAAGTTCCCTGGAGCCCCTTGAATAGAAAAGCCTCCAAAAGAGTTTTTTTTTTAGGTCTCCATTCTAAAGTTGACTTCGGAGTACCATTTCTTCGGTTAACACGAGGGCATGCTGCATTCCAGGGGAGACGTGGCAGCTCAGAGATATCTAAGATGTAATATCCATGCTATAATCAGGTAGCACTGTCACACATCTATTTTCCTGGCACTTAATTGCTCTAAAGTTCCACTTTGGGTTGTGGGAGATTTCAAGAGAGAACTAACCATGAGCGTTTGCTTTCTGGGCCCTAGAGGCAATGTATGTCCAAGTGGATGTATTCCATCATACAGCCTTACCTCAGAAAAATGAATTCAGTGGTTCACGGCCAGAATTTTCAAAAAAATATTTGTTGAAGATGATTGCCCCTTTGCAGGACATATATAAGGAGGCTTGCCATTTGTAATTCAAATTCAGTAATGCATTGCGTTAGAAATGTTCTCATGCTTACATTTTTCTTTTCATCTTACATCGTCCCTTCCTATTGCTAAAATATTTCTTTGTTCTTAAAGAGATTTCAAATCTATTGACTCTCCAAACCTTAAGGTAAAAAATTAGTACCACCAACTCCCAATTTGCTGGCTGGTTATCTTTTAAGCATTTAATATGAAGTAGATAGATTTGCAACTCAGAACAAGCTCTCCTATAGAAGTACACAAAATGCATTGTACATTTTTGGTAGATTACTAATGGTACTAATTCAGTTGGGCATAGCCACGTGGATAACATAGCTTCCATCAGAAAATCTACTCTGTCCTCCAGTTAAGGACACGAGATCAACCTCTGCTTGGTGGGTACCCAGAACAAGTGGTATGGGAAGAAGAAAGCGAGGTAGGCATTGGTGGACATCAGAAGTGTGGTGATCCTCTGTAGATACTTAAGAGATGGATTTTCTCTTAGTTCATATTTCCCAAATGTTGTCCTGCCCTAACAGAAGTGTCCTAGGACTCATTCAAATATGTTCTTTCATAAAAGTTTTCTATGGATAATGAACTTGAAGAAATGTTGGACTAAACATAATTAAACAGGTTTCCATCCTCTGGGATTTGGGGGATGGGAGACATCCTCTGAGAATCTCCAAGTTGGGGCTGAAGTGTGCAAGATGCCCTTGATTTATGAGATTTTGGAATCTCTGAACAAGGACCTAGGTCTCCCTGAACTAGTACCCAGGAAATGCTCTGGTTATTCTTTGTTTAAGTATTCTCAACTGAAAGGCGGGTGGTTGCCACAAGAACCTCCCTCCACAGAGACCTGGTGTAGTGCCTCCCAACTGGAAGCTCTCCTATCTCTTTATTATCTACCTAAATCATTCGTAAATTGGAGACTGACAAGATCCTTTTTTATTAGGCAAAATAATTTATAGGAATATGTCAGCACCTCCTAATGTGGAGCAATGTCAAAACCAAAACAAACAAAAAAAAAATTGAAAGGGAGATTACAATTACACAATCTGACCAATACAGTTTTTTTTTTTTTTAAGATTTTATTTATTTATTCATGAGAGACAGAGAGAGAGAGAGAGAAGCAGGCTTCCCGCCGAGCAGGGAGCCCGATGCGGGACTCGATCCCAGGACCCTGGGATCATGACCTGAGCCGAAGGCAGACGCTTAACCATCTGAGCCACCCAGGCGCCCCTGACCAATACAGTTCTATTGGCTTAAAAATAGGATTAAATCCATTGCAGAGAATACTGTCAGCTGTATTGATATCATTAGTACATCAATATTATTCCAAATAGATCTGCCTAGAGACTTGACTAACACATACCAAAGCAATCTCCCTTTCAAGGCTAACACAGTTGAAAGAAAAGAAAAATACTTGAATGGGAAGGCAAAATAAGGGACACCTGGTTTAGAGTATCTCTTTGTGTTTATAAGGTGCTTTACACATTTTGTACTAGACTTTATAGACTAGACCATGGCGTGTGGTCAGAGGGCAATGCCGAGGCTCTGGATTGCAGCAACCAGGTATGTGTTAGGAACTTATATATAAGGAGGCTATAGAGTCCATTACTTCTGCAGAGCCTGCCGTTACTGCAGTTCAGACATCCCTGGAAGTGATTTCCTTTCAGCCAAAACGTCAGTATTATACAATCCGTCCATTGCTTCCATGCAACCCTTAACGAGGCAGCACAAGGTGAGCGAGTTGCATCACAGGGCACATAGAGAAGGGGCACGTTTGGGCATTTGGCAGATTACACAAATGAGAGAAAATAAGGCTTACAGATAGAGGGGCTGAATGAACTATTTTTGCATTTGCTGTAACATCTCTGTTACGAGGAAGCAACGGTTCCAACACAGGTCAAAATGATCCACAGAGAACCTAAAGAGAAGGTAGAAGGACCACTCTGACAATGAAGCTTTAGAGCCAGCAAACAAATACTTCCTAGAGAAAAACCAACGCTGCCAGGTCTTTAATGAAGAGAGAATCTGAGTATAATCTAAATCAGAGGTTCTCAAACTCTTTATTTTTTGTATCTCATTTTTTTTTTTAAGATTTTATTTTTAAGTAACCTCTACACCCACTGTGGGGCTTGAACTCACAACCCCAAGGTCAAGAGTCACGTGCTCTACCAACTGAGCCAGCCAGGTGCCCCGGTTCTCAAACTTTTTAGTCTCAGGGATACATCCCCTCTTAAAAATCACTGAAGATCTGGGCGCCTGGGTGGCTCAGTTGGTTAAGTGACTGCCTTCGGCTCAGGTTGTGATCCTGGAGTCCCTGGATCAAGTCCCGCATCGGGCTCTCTGCTCAGCAGGGAGCCTGCTTCTCCCTCTGACCCTCTCCCCTCTCATGTGCTCTCTCTCATTCTCTCTGTCTCAAATAAATAAATAAAATCTTTAAAAAAAAAAATCACTGAAGATCTCAAAAGGCTTTATGTGGCTTGTATTTCCTGGTGTTTACTGTATTAGAAATTAAAAGTAAGATATTTTTTGATATGTGTATAAATTTAGTGAGAAGAGTGATATTGTTTTACATTTTGCAATTCCTGATGCTTAGCAAAAGAATCAGCTGCGATGTCACGTGCTCTCTGGAAAATGCCTCTACTCGTAGAGAGAAAGCAAAGTTGTCAACCAAGTACATAAGGTCTTGGTACTATTATAAGAAAAGTTCCATCTTGCAGACAACCTGAAAGACGGACAGGGGCCCAGAGGAGAACCCATACTCTACTTTGCGAACCAGTGAGCTAAAAACACTGCATAGTACGAATATTTACACATATAGATATACTATGTATAGAATAAAATTCTCATGTTAAGGACTTACTAACCTGTAGATGGATTATTTCATAGTGTAAGTTCAAACATCCTTAACTGTTCATTTCTTCCAATGGTATAAAGCCTGCAATACAAATTGCAAGTCAGAATGGCAATAAAGATAAAAAAGGAAATCATACCAAACAGAGGCCTAACAAGATGCATTCCGTTTTGTTTTTTTTTTTTTAAAGATTTTATTTATTTGACAGAGAGAGACACAGCAAGAGAAGGAACACAAGCAGGGGGAGTGTGAGAGGGAGAAGCAGGCTTCCCGCTGAGCAGGGAGCCCGATGCGGGGCTCGATCCCAGGACCCTGGGACCATGACCTGAGCCGAAGGCAGACACTTAACGACTGAGCCACCCAGGCGCCCTAACAAGATGCATTCCTGACTGTCAGTACCAAATATCATATTTTCACATGTGGTACTATTGTGTCCCAATAATGAGGTAGATGGAGTGAGCATTATCCTATTTTATAGATGAGAAAAGTGCACAGAGAGGGGGTAAGTGACTTATCCAAGCACCATAACTAATCCGTGACAGAGCCAGGAATCGATCCAGCCCAGTGCTGCTTTGGGCTTATCGCTAGGCCAACACACAATGCCAAAACACATGTTTGGAAAGTGAAGATTATTACTGGGGTGTTGTGTTGCCTGATTTGTGTCTTTATAATTCTTCACTTACTTGGCCAAATAGCTGTTCCGGTAGATACATAGTTGGTGCTTTAGTATTATTTTGCTAAATGTTCCACTTTAACATTTTGAAAATGTGTAATTACTCCCTCTGACCTTAATTTTCCTTACATGTAAAATTTGGACCTAATTACGGCAAAGTCTCCAGCAACAATGACATCTTAATAACTAATAAAACAAGGCAGATCAGAATCTGCAATTTAATTTAAACAAAACAAACCAGTCGCCTCAAATTGGGAAAATGTGCAAGGACGCTTGCGGTTTACTCCAGGATAGCGGATGGTATCGGAATGTTCTGGAAGCCAGGCGTCAGGGATGCTTACATCCTGCAAGCCTCCAGAGAACATGCACAATACTTACTCTCTCAGTGGCCCACGTGAATTTGCAATGTTTTGTGGACAGCCACATGGGTGAACATGTTTGTCATTTTCGGAACCTGGGTACTAGCTCTGTTGATGGAAAACCTTTCTGCTGTGTTTTGGTAAGTATTGATTTTTCCAAAGATGAAGCTACCATCTAAAGTGAAGGAAGATTGTTGGGGGGGCCTGGGCGGCTCAGCTGGTTAAGCGTCTGCCTTCGGCTCAGGTCATGATCGCAGGGTCCTGCGATCGAGTCCCGCATCGGGCTGCCTGCTCAGTGGGGAGTCTGCTTCTCCCTCTCCCCCTGCTCCATCCCCCTCCCACTTGTGCATGCTCTCTCTGTCAAATAAATGAATAAAAAGTCTTTAAAAAATAAATACATAAATAAAGTGAAGGAAGATTGTACTTTGTTTTATCCGGAGATTTACCAAAAGTGGCCCACTGATTCAGAAAAGCGTGTTGTGGTACTGGACTCGTCACAGCTACCCACACTCAGAGCTGTGATACTCACACTTGGTGTGAGCATCTGACTACACCACCAGATCTACTATAGAGAGACAGCAGCACCTACAAACATATCGGAATAGTTGACTGTAAATCGATTTCCAATAGTTCTCCTTTATATTATAATGAAGATGTTTTGTCAATACTTTAATCAGGTATGTATAGGTAGGTTATATTATTTGTGCTTTCCATTGTCGGATAATAAAGGGGCACTTCCTAATTTTTTTTTTTTAAGTAGAATGCTGTCCCTGCTAAGATCAAGAACCACTAGATTAATTTCCTTTAGAAAATTCCCATTTTTTTTCCTGCTCAAAAATTTAGTTTTAGATTCAGTATTAATAGGTATTTCTCAAATTTCAATCCCCTTTGAAAAACACACTTACGGTTACTCCGTTTGTGTTAATAAAACAGTGTGAAAATAGCCTGCAAAGTATCTGGCTAAAGGGTTTGACACGTTGGGGTTTGGGGTGAGAAGAAGAGGATGATGTATTGGATTAACTTCAAAAGAAGCAAATTAAAGGTATTTTGGGTTATCTAATTTATGCAGCTTCGCGCTCCTCTAAATTCAAAACCCACAACTGCCTCCACCACAACCATCAGCACCAACACCAAAGACATACATACTTGAGAGAAGACAACCTTCTCTCCGCTTTACCTACTCACATAGAGAAAAGACGACGTAGTTCAGAACATTATTGATTAAATGAGGGAAGCTGCAGGGACTACTGGTACTCAAACATTCTCCTGAAAATTATTCCTTGCAATGTATACCATAGGTTCAAAGTGAGTGTTCTTTTCAAACACGAATGATCTTCATTTATAATTAAATACTGAAAACAATTTCAGTGACAAATGAGTGCCGTTTGCCAAAATTAGATAAAAGTCATTGCCAAGTTTTAAAATCCCAGTGAAGTTTTGATCAATGCATTCTACACAACAAATAATTGTGATATTTATTTTGCTACCTGTACATTAAGTTTTTCCTTGACTGCTTTCCTGAACCACACAATTATGTGAAGATGTATTTTCCACGCTTTCTGCAGTCTGAGATACATTTTTTTGAAAATTGAAGATGAAATGACTTCTTAATCACGTCATTTTTTCCCCTCTGGAAGACACTGCCTTTTTTACTTACTGGTTTAAAAACTGCCCAAATCAGTACAACTTTCATGGTTGGGAACCAGCCTACTTGATTATGTTGGGGAAATACATAGAGTGCTGGGAATAGCATTTACTTCTCTGGCTCAATTAGTTTTGTAGCAATGGTTCATTAACAGCATACACCATTAATTTAGAATAAGCCCTCCACTAATAATGACAATTGATTTCTTTGTTTAATTTCTCTACAACCAAACGACACACTTTACAATGAACCCCAATTTAAAGTCCTTCGGGAATTTGGATTACATGACACCTTTTCAAAAGGTTATATTTGATGACCTAACCCACCTGATATTTTTCTCTTTGCCACATTTAAAATATAAAAGTGCATCTAATTAAACGATTATAATTTGAGTCATTAACTTTTAGTAAAAAATTAATAAACATTTCTAAAAAGAAAAAGAAAACTTCCCCACATAAATTTCCCTTTCAACTTACGCTAACATCCATTTTATAATGAACTACAACGCATGGCGTCTTTCCAGGTTTAAAGACATTACCTCCATCATTCTCTGTGGCCTGAAAGTCAACGTTTTAAGGTACCAGCAACTGCTCTCTCTGAATACACTGACCTCGAGCCAGTCAGACATTCTTTTCTGCTTCAATTTCTCAGCTATAAAACAGATTGATGATATCTAGAAATATATGTTTTACATACACAGTAATGGCAGCCTTTCTTGTCGACCAATCCTACTGACTACTATTCTTACAATGCTATAAAAAATAAACTCTTGTTGGCATAAGTATAAATCCCAAGTGCAGAGTCCCTGAATTCAAGTGCTGACTTTGCCGCTTATAAAGCAGATCGTGTTGGCCATGCCATTTCACCTTACTGAGCATCTATTTCTGCATACATCAGAAGTGATTAATGATACATATTCTGCTTCACTTCATGCACTTATGAACATCAAATAAGAAAACTCGTATGATTTTCAAATCACAGTGGGAAGATGACGAAGAGAAGGAACAAATATATTTCAAAGACCGTGATGTGTTTTCTGCTCTCTGGAATCCTGAATCCACCAGCGTGTATTTCTACCAAGCCAAAATAGTGTGATCTGAATGGAACATTGTAATCTAAACAAAGGCACATCTATATGACTACTCTGAGCCGAAACAAAGATAAGCGGCATGGTCTACCTAACTATAGTTGAGCCCCAAATTCAATCTCATTGCATCAGCCATAAACAAAGTAAGGACTTACAACGATAGGTATATCACATCAAATCTACTATTGCGTTAGAACTTCCTTTCTTGAATGAGATCTTGCCATTTGCAACGATGTGGATGGAACTGGAGGGTATTATGTTGAGCGAAATAAGTCAATCAGAGAAAGACATGTATTATGAGCCTCACTGATATGAGGAATTCTTAATCGCAGGAAACAAACTGAGGGTTGCTGGAGTGGGGGGTGGGGTGGGAGGGATGGGGTGACTGGGTGATAGACACTGGGGAGGGTATGTGCTCTGGTAAGCACTGTGAATTGTGCAAGACTGTTGACTCTCAGATCTGTACCTCTGAAACAAATAATGCAATATATGTCAAGAAAAAAAAAGAAGAAGAAGAAGGTAGCAGGAGGGGAAGAATGAAGGGGGGAAATCGGAGGGGGAGACGAACCATGAGAGACGATGGACTCTGAAAAACAAACTGAGGGTTCTAGAGGGGAGGGGGTGGGGGGATGGGTTAGCCTGGTAATGGGTATTAAAGAGGGCACGTTCTGCATGGAGCACTGGGTGTTATGCACAAACAATGAATCATGGAACACGTCATCTAAAACTAATGATGTAATGTATGGGGATTAACATAAGAATAAAAAAAAAAAAGAACGTCCTTTCTTATTTTTAATGCCTGGAATCATTTGCTGGTGATTGAAGGCAAAGGTAGGACCTGTACCTATAAACGTGATATAAACATTAGTCAGAATGGCGGTTTTGAGTTTTATGCTATAGGCCATTTCCCAACATGGGTTTCCAGTCCCAACTTTTATCCAGAGTTACAAATGAATATTTTTTCCCTATGTGCTGTGCATCTCAAATAGTACATCCAAAATCATATACTTCCGTTTCGCACTTACATGCATCGGTTAGAGACTTTTTGCTTACTTTTTCCGTATACTTCTTTTTTTTTTTTTAAAGATTTTATTTATTTATTTGAGAGAGAGAGAATGAGAGACAGAGAGCATGAGAGGGAGGAGGGTCAGAGGGAGAAGCAGACTCCCCGCCGAGCAGGGAGCCCGATGCGGGACTTGATCCCGGGACTCCAGGATCATGACCTGAGCCGAAGGCAGTCGCTTAACCAACTGAGCCACCCAGGCGCCCCATTTTTTCCGTATATTTCTTAAATAGTTTGTGCCAATGTTGTATAGAAGCACATATAACAGCAAAAGTGAAATAAAATAATAAATTTCTATATTTCACTAATTCTTAGTAAATGGGTACATGCATAAAGATGAACTCATGCCGAAACTTTACCTATCTCCTGAAAGTCAAGCCTTGACAAGGAAAATATAATTGTAAGGGAATATTATTAACACCCGTTCCTCACAAAGTGTACACCCGATGCAACCCTCAGAATTTGAAACAGAGAGAACAAAATGAAATCCACTTTCTAATGACTCAACTCAAATCAACTTCACCCCCCACTGAGAAAAAGCTCACTGAGAAATAGTTATGCAGCATATTTCCAAAGTCCAAACAGCACTGCAAAGAGACACTGGTTACGAAATGTTTTGATAAGTGTGATGTGAATAATTAATAGATGAGAACATTTTTATTCCTTTCTAAGGGCAGCAGGAGATTAAGTTAACAATTTACGATGGCATGAGTGATTACTTCGTTTCCGTATAAAAATGAGCTGCTTAAAATCTAATCCTCACGGTAACAGGTAACACGTATAGCTCCTTGAGAAAAGCAGCAACGTGTTCAGGACAAGTGACAAAAACAAGTAGATCGGCAGCAGTTTTTGAAAACAGCTGTGATGAACTGTCAAGAAAGAGAACAGACAGAATCAGTCTCTGACAGTGGTCCAGGCCCTGAACCACAGCAAAGGCAAATTTCCTATTATTTTTTCTGACTTCTATACTCTCTAACTTTAGAAATATTTAGATGAGATGCTTATATTAGAACAGAAATGAAAAAGGATAAGGAAATCGACAAATTTATATTGACTTCGTAGATATTTGCAGACGAAAGGGAAATGAAAACTTTTCCATTTTACTTAAGGAAGGAGGACATAATATTGCTTTATGACTCATAAAACTTTTAGAATTTATTCTCAAAAAGGCACACATCAGTGTTAGATCCTAACACAGGATGGCTAAAACCAGATGGGAATCTATGAAAAAAATATGTAATGTATTACCATCTAAAGGCCATGAACCATATTTTATTTCTTAGATTGGGTGGTGGTTACAAGGGTTTGCATTTTGTAATTATTTACCTTGCTGTGTACTTATATTTTGTAAACTTTTAGAGAAATGGGTTGTGTTTCATAATTTTTAAAATATTATTTTAAAATGTTACAAGCTGGGGTGCCTGGGTGACTCAGTTGGTTAAGCGTCCGACTCTTGATTTCGGCTCAGGTCAGATCTCAGGGTCGTGGGATGGAGCCCCACGTCTGGCTCCGTGCTCAGCTCAGAGTCTCCTTGTCCCTCTCCCTCTGCTCTTCCCCCCACTTGTGCACTCTTTCTCTCAAATAAATAAATAAAATCTTTCAAAAAATGAAATAAAATAAAATGTTATAAGCTAAGGGATGTCTGGGTGGCTCAGTTGATTAAGTGACCAACTCTTGGCTTCACCTCAGGTCACGATCTCAGGGTCATGATCTCAGAGTCATGAGATTGAGCCCCACACTCAGCACAGAGTCTGCTGAGATTCTCTCCCTTTGCCCCTTCTCTTGCTCATGCTTGCTCTCTCTCTAAAATAAAAGTAAATAGGGCGCCTGGGTGGCTCAGTTGGTTAAGTGACTGCCTTCAGCTCAGGTCATGATCCTGGAGTCCCGGGATCGAGTCCCGTATCGGGCTCCTTGCTCAGCAGAGGGTCTGCTTCTCCCTCTGACCCTCCCCCCTCTCATGTGCGCTCTCTCTCTCTCATTCTCTCTCTCAAATAAATAAATAAAATAAAATAAAATAAAATAAAAGTAAATAAATAAAATCTTTTTTAAAAAAAAACATTACAAGCTGAGGAATCAGCAAAGTCCTAGTTGTAGTTAATCTGTGGCTATGTCTGCCCTATCTGAAAATACACTTCAGCCAGTTCAGTAGGGGCTAGAAGCATTCGTCAGGCAAGGCTTTTGGCATCATGCAGATAAGATAACCATGCAGACCAAATAATGAATTTTATATATTTCACTAATTCTTAGCAAATGGCCTGGGGGCAGGTATGACAATGAACTCATGCTGAAATGTATCTATTTCCTAAAAAAGAAAAAAAAAAAGCCTTGACAAAGACAAAAGAATTCTAAATGAATTACTAATACCGGTTGTTGTTTTTTTTAAAGCTTTTATTTATTTGACAGAGAGAGACACAATGAGAGAGGGAACACAAGCAGGGGGAGTGGGTGAGGGAGAAGCAGGCTTCCCGCTGAGCAGGGAGCCCAATGCGGGGCTCGATCCCAGGACCCCGGGACCATGACCCAAGCTGAAGGCAGACACTTAATGGCTGAGCCACCCAGGAGCCCCACTAATACCAGTTTATAGCAAACACCAGGATGCACATCCAGTATAATAATCCTCTTACTTGAAACAAAGACAATAAATGAAACCTAATTTACTGGTGGTTACTATGATTTCCTTACCCTAAGTGGAAGCCAACTGTTGTGGGTTATGCCATCTACATAGCAACTCACTTCTCTGTCCTTCAAATTCACCCCTGGAGATGTTACTTCAGACATGCTCATGGTAGATAAATGTAGTCCTGATTTACATTGCTAGGTCATGGAGCATGAAATCTCAGTGCGCTCCAATCTGTGTATAAATATGAAAAGGTAAACAAATGCACTCACCTGTGTAGGGATAAGAGAGAGTGCTTACTGCATTAAAGAGCGTGCAAAAAAAAAAAAAAAAAAAGCAGGGGGGGCGGCTGGTGGCACAGTCGATTAAGCATCTACCTCAGGTCGTGATCCCAGGGTTGTGAGATCGAGCCCTGAGTTGGGCTCTGCGCTTAGCGAGGAGTCTGCTTCGCTCTCCCTCTCCCTCTGCCCCTCCTGCTTGTGCTCTTTCTCTCTCTCTCTCTCTCTGAAAATAAATAAATAAACCTTAAAAAAAAAAAAAGAGTGCATATTACAAAGTTCTGTGAAACCAATGAGTGTCCAAAATGTATTGATATATAGTTGCAAATGCAGGAATGAAGATATGGCATCTAAAATCGTGTCCAATAATGAAGCACAGTGGGTTACATATAAGAGTTGGTAATACAGGTTTTTAAATCTCAGTCTATAAATATTCTTTTCTAACCTACACTGAAAAATGTCTGAAGGAAACAGGAGTGTTAACACACACACATACAATCATTTGAATTGAAAAACTGTGGCAGCAACTAAAATTTAATGAGTAACCTATTTCCTTTTAGACCGTGAGTCCACCATCCCACGTTAATTGGATTGTCTGGCATTCATAGCCACCAGATGGAAAAACTCAACATCGTGCAAAGAGCTACCGACCTTGGCTGTTTGTGGATCATGCAATGTGATTCACTTTGAATATTTTAGGAGACGATTGCCTTGTGGATTCTCATCATCTTTTTTATTCCTCGGTCTTCTATCTTTAATTACAGAATCACAGATTTGGGGGATGTTACAAGGCACAGGATGAGTCAGCAAAATACACATTTGTGCTTATTTTGAACTTGCCCTGTTTTCGGTAAAATTTCTTGTATGAAAAAAGTATGAAAACCGCATGTCAAATAAAAAGAATTTTGACTCTGCAAACATATTTCAGAAATAATGGAAATAAATTTAGGAGAAAAATAAGAGGAGGTCAGTGTTTTTCTTTGTGAAAGGGCTCATTAGGCTGGGGCAGTCAGGGACTGCCCAATTAGGACCTTTCAACTAAGAATACCATTCTGGTTCGATAAGTTTCTATATTCCAGCTAGGCTCAATTCCTTTTATTGTAAGATATTATATTAGCAAGGTAACGATAGGTACTATAACAGATAAACCCTAAAATCTCAGTAGCTTGGGGCGCCTGGGTGGCTCAGTTGGTTAAGCGACTGCCTTCGGCTCAGGTCATGATCCTGGAGTCCCGGGATCGAGTCTCACATCAGGCTCCCTGCTCGGCAGGGAGTCTGCTTCTCCCTCTGACCCTCCTCCCTCTCATGCTCTCTGTCTCTCATTGTCTCTCTCGCAAATAAATAAAATCCTAAAAAAAAAAAATTTTTTTAAAAATCTCAGTAGCTTAACACAAATCTCAATGGCTTAACACAAGCTTATTTTTCGCTCCTGCAGATTCCAAACACTTTCTTCTTCAAGGGTGTCTCTCTGCCAGAGGTTAATTCAACAGTTCTCACCATTGGAAGGAGGGCATGAATTTCCGGCAGACAGCTAGCTGTCTCTTCCATGGAAATTGTGCTTTTAGGAAATCTCACCTTACCAGGAAAACTCAAGTCGTGAGTCCATACCCCCCTGACTTGGGAAGGCTCTTTCTTCTTGGTCGTGAGATAGCCACAAAGCAGAATCATAATAAAGTACAGAAGAGTTTGGAAAGATTGCCATCCTATAGTCAATGGAACACTCCAGAAGAGAAGTACCTATGGTGTACACAGAAGGATAAATGTTAGACACAGATTTTACACACCAAAAGGAATTCTGATAGCTTTCATAATAGATGTGAGGTAAATTATGCTGTAAATGTATTAATACATGAACCTCATTCTATGACGGCCCTAAGGGATCATCTACATTCATTTTGCTGATGTTTGCATTTTAACACATGAGATTGAAAAGTTCAACCATGGGCGCCTGGGTGGCTCAGTTGGTTGGGCGACTGCTTTCGGCTCAGGTCATGATCCTGGAGTCCCGGGATCGAGTCCCGCGTCGGGCTGCTTCTGCCTCTGACCCTCCCCCCTCTCATGTGCTCTCTCTCTCTCATTCTCTCTGTCTCAAATAAATAAATAAATAAATCTTAAAAAAAAAAAAGAAAAGTTCAACCATGTAGAGTGGAGGATGTCTTCAATAGAAACAAGGAAGTTTCACTGGATTCTTTATGAAAGTGGCAGCAAAGGTCTGATGGTGAAGCTTCTGTCCTATTTCTCTCCACTTGCTCTCACAGATTAGACAATGTGCTGTCTAGTTTATAATTGTTATCCTATATCCCTTAGATATAAACTGGACTATGGGTCATTGCATATCCTTTCTGTCATAAAACATTTCACTGTGACCCTGTTAGGTCAAATCTAAGTAATTCAGGTATATGACTGATATATTGATTCTGGCCCATTTGGTACCGTCATTGCTACAATGTGGTATTAAACCCTAAGATTTCAATGTTGATGGGGCAGAGGATTTTTTGCACAGAAGACTAGAGACCTCTGAGGATGAACATCTCTGTACTAGGAACAAAGATCACAGTGGTAGGCTGGCTCTTTCCCCAGGGGTGTCATGGCTACTGGATGCTGATGTTGAGAAATAACTGTGACAAAGCATTCAAAAGGTATCCCCCTGAGGAAGGGGGATTCATTCATCTGCAACAGAACTCTCACGATGAGGCAAATATCTAAAATCTTCAGATTCTACCATCAGATCAATCTCTGTCTTCATTATACCTTCCCAGGATGCCAAGTTATCACGAATTTTATAAGTGAAATGCTGGTACATGTTAGAGTCAGCTACCTTTCTAGTCACTGCTGGGAAAACAAAAGGGACTGGTTCTCATCTTGATTCTTCCATTTAGTTAAACCTATTGCAATTGTTCACCATTCCATTTAATCAAAAACTATTTATTCAGTGTCAACTATGAGCTAGCTTCTACTTGGTTCTACAGAGATGATACTTAAAAACACACTAAAACTCTAAAATAACACCTCTTCCTTTATGGAACTGATAATCTAGGGGAGGGGACAGATAAACAAATATTCCCATAAATATAGAAAGAAGTCCAAGGAAAACAATGCATGCAGCCATGAGAACACATCAGACCCTGGGGGCCAGTGAAGAACTCCTTGAGGTGGTTGGTTTCACCGTGAGATGGAAGGATATGTCAGAGTAACCTACACAGTGGCAGTTGGAAGCAGAAAGCTGGGGTGTGTAGACCACAAGACATAAAATGATGTCAAATTGAATAAAATTATATGACTGACAGAAGGCTGATCACACACAGGCTTAGAAGCCACTTCGGGTGATCCCCATCTTTGCACTAAGTCGGCAATGGGAGGACACTGACTTCATTGGACTTGTATTTTACCAAGGTCAACCTTGAATCCAGGGGATGTCGAGAAACCACAGGGGAAGCTATCTCCTTCACTCTAACAGGTTCTCCTAGTTTTCAAGCCAGCTCAACTTAATTATGCAGTGGAAAACAACTTATTTATAAAAAAGAGTTGAATTTCACATGCCACAAATTTTGCTGATGTTATTAGGCAGCATTACATTACAGACAAGGCTTGTACTAAAAAAAAAATGTTGCTATCTGTCTCTATATTAAACACCACATGTATACTGGAATATACCCACAATCTCTTGCCTGGGTGTGTTTCCAGTTAAAGAAAATAAGTCCTCCATTCCCCCTGCTTCCCTGTCCTTTCTGCTTATTCCCAAGACCAAATTTTCATAAAAAATTATGGACCACTAGTTTATGTCTTCTCTTAACTTTGAAATCCTTCTAGCAAGTAAGCCTTTGAAATTGAAATTCGTCACAACAAAGCACCTGGTGTCATACTCATGACGGGGAGCCCTCAACAGTTGTTGAGCCAGGAATTTTCTCTCCACTGGCAAATTCCCTCTTTCACGAATGCTTTACTCATTTCATAAATAAAGTATTTTAGGAAATAGGGACCAGCACTTAGCCTGTCCACATTTCGGTGGATTACTTACATTTCAGAAATTAAAAGGATTCTATAATTGTGAGTTCTGATGGTTATCAGCGATATTACAATACCAGATCTTCTGTTAAGCATTTGTGTGAAAATTAAACATGATTTAAATTCTAGCTTCTAAGATTTATTTCTCCCTGCTACTATTACACAAAACCACTATTAATATGCTGTGAAATGAGACATCTACAGCATCGCTAGTAAAAGCCTTTAAGTGGTAATCCTTCTGAATCCTTTCTTGTAATAGCCGAACATTTGCTGTACAAAACCAATGAAATTCACACATGCTGCTATGGAGTGGTGGAGTGATTATTACAGCATTTTTTTCCCCCCAAAGTACCTTAGGCATTAGATGATTAGAGAATAGTCTTATGTTTTAAACTTCCTGCCAACAATGTGGCTTTTAGTTGCATTGGATTGAGGACAAATTGTAGTATAATGTATGTTGACAGTTTAATGACACGGGTTACTATCCTTGGTGTACTTTATGATGTAATACATCCTTACAGGTGTCTCCAGAGAATTGTGCTATGATTTTCAAGGCACAGAAAATTCAATAAACTAAAACAGTCTGAGTAAGATTTCTGCCTTCTGTATACTTTGGACATTTTCCTAAAAAATAAATAGGTGCTACCCTTCTAAAATATTTTTCTGACATGCCTTTTCTGTTTTTCTTCTCAAGCTGTAGATTTTAAGACTGGCATGGTACAATTCTTATTAAATTATACATTAAAAATATAAAAGTCTCTTTCTTTATTTAAAAAACAGTCTTTTCCAGGTCTTGAAGGTAAAGTTCCTCTTCTATAAAAAGCTGTAATTGTGGTTTTCAAAAATCTCATTAAATATTTAGATCTTTTAGAGCCACAAGTGTTTTCTGTTGAAGTTTAAACACATTTAGGCTAATTATTTCTAATGTTTTGACCATTGTACAAATACTTAGAGTATTAAATAGCTAATAGCATAAAACAAAATAGCAAGTCTTATGTGCAGAATTCATATAATTACTCCTGGATTTTCTTTTCATCAAGATACTTCTGGGTGAAACAAAAATGGCAATACAATGTATTTTTTAAAGTGATATGAAACATTAGTATTAAACGAATGCAAGTCTAAATACAGATGTGACTTTATGTAGCCTTATTCCCATTTACACAACTATAAACACAAAAAAATATTCAAGCTCTTAAGCACGCTAAACCCACTGTGATTTCACAATGGACAATTGTCTGGTATTTCAGTGATTTGCAGAAAAGAAAACATACCCTATAGTCCTCTCTTAAAAAAAAAAAAAAAAAAAAAAAACATGGGGTGCCTGGGTGGCTCAGTCGGTTAAGTGGCTGCCTTCGGCTTGGGTCATGATCCCAGGGTGCTGGGTTGGAGCCCCGGCATTGGGCTCCCTGCTCAGTGGGGAGCCTGCTTCTCCCTCTCCCTCTGCCTGCCTCTCTGCCTACTTGTTCTCTCTTTCTATCTCTCTGTCAAATAAATAAATAAAATCTTAAAAAACAAAACAAAACAAAAAACTAGACAGTATGGGAATACAGAGGAACATACAGCAAGTTTCCCATCCTAAAGGTAAGATAGTCACTTTCTAGGAAGTGCTTCCTTTGTTGCAGATACTGTGTAAAATATTTGACATACATTATTTTCTCTACTGCTCCAAGCTACCCCAGAGGATAGGTTCCTTATTATTATCTTCATTTTACAGATGAGGAAAGAGCATCCAGAAAGGTCAGTGGTTGACCTCAGATTTTAGAGCACATACATGGTGGAATTAGGATTCTCAATCTAGCATTCAGAATTCAGACCCTGGAACATACTGCCTTCCTCACTGGCCAGGCAATTGATTTAGATTTTTTTAAAAAGGCACATGTGGGTATTTTCATTAAAAACAACACAAGCTAATATAAAGAATACTAAACGGACATAGATTGTGGCTTTTGTTTGTTCGAGGACTAAGAAACTCAATCGCTTGGGAAATCCATTTGGAGATCCCTTCATCTCAGTGCTCACCCAACAACTCAATGTTAGTGCTCTTGAAACTCATGCTACTTAAATTATCTCATTGTTATCGTTATTATTGCATTTTCTGTGTGTTCAAAGCAAACATATACAAAGTAATCAAGTCTTTTGTGAAGCTCCTGAGAGCTGAGACAGGGTGATGTGAAAAACAAATTGCAGTAGAGTATGAGGCGCAAAGAAAAAAAAAAAATTCATGCCCTTGAATTCTAGCCTACAAGAACTTTTTCAGTTCCAGTGTCTTTGTTGCTTTTTCTAATTTTTTTGGCCCAGGGTTTGTGCGCTTTCCTCCTCCCAGGGGTTCCACCAGGCAGGCCTGGTTGGAAGAGGTCCCAGCAGAGAGCAGAGGTCTGAGGATTATTGAAGTGGTTTTCTTTTTAATCACTTATAAAAACAGAGACAAAGCCAATCACCAGCCATGTGATTTACTCCAAGTCTCCGGGTCTCTAAATCCCCTGAAGAAAGCTAGAATCAGCACTTTTCCAACAGCGTGGTATTTTGAGCTTCAGTCAAGTTTGAGTACCATACTGCTCTGGGAAGGGGAGAGAGGCAGAGGAAAAAAAAAAAAAAAACATATATATATATATCACTTGAACGTCTTAATAAAATGGAGACCGTACTTAAACTACCATGCTCAAGCACAGGGTATGTGCTTGTGTCTAGTCTCTCCTAGCACTTTGAAAATGGATTCTCGCTTTATTTCC